GAAGAGAGGATTTAGACCAAGGTGCATTGGTAACACAATCCAGAGAGGCCAATGGAAATGGTTACATTTCCATGAAACAATTGAAATACAACCAGAATGGCAAATTTTTTTTAGTTCAGAAACCAATTTTTTTTGGGGGGTATTGGGGAAAAAAAAAAAAAAAAATTTTGGCAAAAAAAAAAAAAATAAACCTTAAAAAAATGGGGGAAAAAAAAAAAAAAAAAATTCCCCTTTTTTTTTTTTTTTTTGAAATCCCTTTTTTTTTTTTTTTTTGGGGGAAAATAAATTAAAGGAAGCTAAAAATTTTTTCTTTCAGGAAAATAAAATTATGGAACCAACTGCACGTTAATCTCCATCACAACAAGAAATGTGACTTTTTGGAAGAGTTTAAAAAAAAAGCGTTAAGAAACAATGAAAAATAATAAAGCACCTGGGCCTCGGAGGTATATGCATAGAACTGTTTAAACATTATCCTATCGTAGGTTTTGGAATTAACTTACTGAAACATATTCAATTGGAAATTTTAAAAGGAGGTAAAAATACCTGAAATATGGAAATTAGCCTTCCATAAATTCAATTTACAAAAAAGGTTGGTAACAAAAGAATGTAATAATTCATAGAGAGACTAAGTGGTGACTTCTCTTGGTTAGACTGTATGGACGAGTGCTAAAGAATAGAATTGAAAATGCAAGCATCAGACTCAGAAGAGCAAAGTGGGTTTAGACAGGAGATCGTGTATTGACAATATTTCTTTCTGTCTCAACACACACCTGACATGGAAAAAACAATTGGAGCGAGGAAGAGAACTTCACATAATTTTCTTGACCTCAAAAGGCTATGACAATGTACGCAGTAAAAAGAAGTAATGGGGGGGCAATGGGAAGAAAAGGAGATAAACAACAACATAAATGCAGTCAAACACTTTATAAAGTACAAATGTCAACGTAAAAGTGGGAAAAAATGTTATCAGCAATTTCCCAGTAAATAAATGGGGGCGGAGAAGAGAAATACGCGCAAGGCCTTGCTGTATATCTCCAACCTGTTTTAAGATATACCATTGTAAAGCCCTAAAGATGGAAAAGAAAGTGCAGAAGCATGGGTGTGAAACTAGGTTGATGAAACTTGTTTAGCTCTACTATTTGCAGATGACCAGCAGGTGAATAATGGCTGAAGATGAAAGAGCGAAATGTAACTATAATGTCAGAAATTAGTACCGAAGAGTATGAAAAATGGGGGAATGCAAATAAATTTCAACAAACTGAATATCTGGCTTGGTGCGGAGGTATTGCCCGCTATGATTTAGAGCACTAGTATAGGAATAATTAAAGGTAAACACAATATAAGTATTCCTGGGAGTCAACACTAAAGCAAGATGGAGAGACGAACGCGATGTGAAAAACTAAAATCATAAAGAGGAAAAATAGCAGCAAGGCAGTTGAACATAGTTGCTCATGGAATCAATTATTTCAATGAAACAAGAAACGCATACAAGAGCTCGTTCATCAGAGAGTACCCACACTCTATGCGCGGCAGAAAGTCTGGGACACTAATCAAAAAAATTGAAGAACAAACTTTCAATTCACAGAAACTGATGTTCTGCGGAAGATGTTGTAACTTTCTCTGTTAGATAAAATAAGAAATCGAATGACAATACTGAAACAAAATGAAAGTTGCAAAGCACCTTGAACGATCAATCGAAATGAACAACTAAAAAGGTACGCGACATATGAGAGGTTGCAAATCGGCATAGACTTCCTCAAAAAGTTTGGGAGTGATACCAATCGAAGAAGATACAGGGGGAAGACCGAGAAGAAAATAGAACATGGCATAACTGAAGCCATGGAAAAACAGAGAAATGGAAAAAAACGCTGTATCGGGTAAGAGGCATGGACAATTGGAATCGGAAAACGGCCCAGGCTGTTAAAAAACCGCAAATAGATAGATAGATAGATAGATAGATAGATAGATAGATAGATAGATAGATAGATAGATAGATAGTACATATTTCAATTCTCAGAAATAAATTTTGTTCTCTATGAACAATCGCCTTAGTCAGAAATAGTGAAGCTGAGACGTAATGTATGATTACAAGTGTTGCACTGCATCCTTGCGAACAGAGAGAATAGGCGACACTAACAGATTCTTGACTGTTCAGGAGACACCTTGTCCTAGGCACAGTGGCCAACGTATCGATTGTCACACTGCGGCCTTCCTCATGGAGAAATACATGAAGCTCGACACTTTAGCAACTCTAGGACGCGGCATCTTCCGAATAGCCAAAAACCTTTAGATTCTGGTCGAGGAAGCTAACGGTTTCAGATGACACCAAGCTCCAACCTGATTTCGCTCTCTGAGCTCCATCCCGCTCGGAGATCTCCCCCTCATGACATCATAACTCTAGTCCAGAGTTATGTTCATTAAAAGATATTTTCCAGCTGCTGAAGAGCCATCAACGAAGCCTATAGCGGGCAGCGATCCCGATCGCTCTCTCGTCCAACACAGCCTCTCTCACCATTGAAAATGAGTGCTCCAATAAACGCATGTCCTATGAACTGACGTACGGCTTTACTTGCGTGACACAGTTATCCCTTCTCTTCCCCCAAGCGGAACAGTCCTAGCTCTACCTCGATATTCTCATTCCAAATATTAACCAAAGAAGAAAAAGGCCTCGAGTGGTATGGTACATCTTAACTCGTATGAGAAAAAAAGTGTATGATGTATAAATGGAGACCAGCACTGTACTAAATTAAGAAGTTGGTGCGAATATAATTAAGACCTTGGAGCAATAACATGTTATGCCACATTTCTGATGAAATTGAAGTTTTAGTGTATTTCGTTTTAGTTTACGTATTAGTTTATGCATATAAATGGACATAATGCGGATATTTCATCTTGTGAATGTTGATAGATTTTAGAAAATTAATATCATGGCTTTATCTTACTTATATATGGAAAAGTTAAAACCTTTACATCCCTTTTTCCCAAAACTTCGTGTAGTGACATTACCTCGAGGTCTTAAATTTTAAAGGTTTTCTTAAGAATAAACTAGATAATTATGATGTATGAATATTAAATTACTCGTACTAGTGACCTGCGGCAGCAGGCACTCTGCAGTAACATAGTAAAATCAATTTTTGAAAAATTGTTTTATCTTTTCGAAAAGTTGTACATTATCTTATAATTGATCTGATTACATTGTACTAATATAGTTCAACAGATCTTTACATCTCAAAAATATCAAACTAGTGATGCTACAACAACTCATATTTTCTTGCATTATTTTTACTTTTGCAAATTTCAAAAATGTTGGGAGTTCAATGAAAACGAGACCTGCATAACAACGCCCTTTCCTCTAACTAAAGAAAAAATTTAATGAAAAAATTTGGAGCCATTTTTATGAAAAAATATAAATTTCGTTATCTTCAAAAGAAAATTCCCCCAAAACCACTCAAAAAATGTTCAAGACCTTAATTATAGATCTAGAGTAAAAAGTCTTTATTATCAACTGTAATAATGTCACAGTACTTTTGCAGTGTTATTTTTTTGTAAATTTCGCAAACGCGGAGTTCGCCAAAAATTCTGCCGCTTTCTATTCGAGTGAAAAAAATTAAAGAAAAAAATTTGGACCTGTTTCTGAGAAAATCTGAAAAATTGCCTATATTTCACACATAATTACGCAAAAACTACTCATTTTCAAAAATCCACGGGCTCACGGACGTTATGCCATCAATCGATTTTTTGAATGAAGTACCCATAAAACTTGGATTCTGACTTTATCACGAGTTGTAGGAAATAATGTACTACACATATGTAGGAACAAGAGTTATCCGCTT